TAATAAGATAAAATAAGGAAGGTGATGAAGTATCTGGGAACTCTCCTCTCTTCTATTCAATTTTTCTATAAATCCAAAACTACTCTAAAAAATTAAGAACATAAAAACTGACAAGCTAACAAACCAGATGAAGGTATTTGCAGCATATGATATTGGTAAGGATTAATAGAATATATTAAATATTCTACAGATTAATAGGAAAAAGACAACACCATAGAAAAAATATTTACACAATAAAGACAAAAACAGGGAGTTTAAAGAAGAGGAAATATAAATGGTCTGTTAATATATGAAAGGGGGTTTAGTCTCATTAATAACAATCATCCAAATGCAAGTAAAGATACAATAAAAAATTGTTACTTACCTACAAAATTGGCAAGATAAAAAGTCACATAATGACGAGTGATAAAATGGATGTGGAACAACTGAAACTTGTGTGCCCTGCTGGTGACAAAGTGCACTGGTGCCAGTGCTTTGGAAAACAGTTTGGCATTACCTGGTAAAGTCAAGCATTCACATATTCATTACCTAGCAAGTCCCTGCCTAGGTAAATACCCAGAAATGGCTACCCATTTGCACTAGCAGACATGCACAAGAACTTTCATGGCAGAATTATTTTTAATAATAGAAACACAAGAAGAAACAGAATGTCCAATGACTGATGAGATAAGCATGCCCAAGCAATAGGGCAGAGCAGTTAAACTGATAGATAATCAGGTTCCCAAGAACAAAGGTGATATTTATTCACAATATCTGAGATTCAAAGCACAGGTAATGATCCATCTCAATAGAGCCCTGGACAATCCAAGGACAGTGACATGCAGTGGCAGGTAGGCTGGTGTAGGACTGAGTGTGAAAATCACATAGCAGAACACTTAACAGTATGATTCCTGTATATCAAAAATGAGAACATGCAAAATTAACCAACATATGCTGTGCAAGGCTTGGAAATATCACAGGAAAGCAAGGAATAATAGCTGTAAAATTCAAGATAGAGGTTAGCTCAGAGGGATCAGGATGAGATTCAATGGGGAAGAACACTCAGGGGACTTCTTCAACTCCATGTTGGGCACACACAAGGGTGTCCATGGTATTATTATTCTTTATAACTTACATATATCTCTTAAATGTCCTTTTATATATATTAATAATGAGAAGCAATTTTTTAAAAGCATTCATGAATTACAAAAGAAAACCTGAATCCTGACTTCAGGTTTTATTACCAGGATGACTTTGAGATCTTGCTTTTCTCTGTAAAACGGGGGTGATAACTACCTCAAGATTTTTGAAAGGAGCAAATATACAAAACTAAACCCATATGGGTAGGGTGGGGATTTTCTTCTAGTATCTCCTTAAACACCCGTGTTGGACAGATACTCCATTTTTCACGGACTCTAGAGTGAAAAGTAGCTTTTTTTTCTGATTCATTTTATCAGTCAGAAACTCCCTCCTAAGCCGCTCACTTAAGCATCCTTTCCACAATAAGAAATGCAATCTCCAATATTTGTTCTCTTCTCTCTCCAAATTAGAGCAGCAATGGGAATGCAAAACAAAGAAACTGGTACTTACCGCGTAGATCTCAGGAGGAAAAGTGGGACCGGGAGAGAATGGAAAAAAATTGCATAATTGTGCTCCTTCAAGGCTCCAAATCCATTCCAAATTACATTACATAATAGTATATGCCTAACTTTCATTGAGATGCCAACTCTAGATTGGTTGTAAGTGGTTATAGTTTAAATGGTTTGACGATTTAGTTTATGAGCATTACAAGTTCTTCTAGTCTGAACCTTTCATTTGCAATGAAAGGTGAATTCATTACCATAGATAATAGTGTGCTAGTGTGCCCCCCCCCAAAAAAAAGACCTAAACATGTCTGGCAACTGGAATGTGTTCTTCAGTTTTGAGTGTAATTTCCATTCTTTCCTTAGTAATGCCAAATGGTTGGACTGGGTTTCTTTGTTTCATTTTGGTTCTGCTTTTTATAAAAGGACTGCTGATAAGAGACAGAAATGAGACAGAGGGAAGGACCCTCAGATACCTTCTTCTACTGTGTGAGACTCAGTTAGGAGCCTGTCTCATAAAACCCCGTTCTGTTAAATGGAGAGAGAAGGAAAAGTGAAAGCATATTCTAAAATCTGCCAGCCAGAGAGTTCATGTTCTCTTACCTCATTAATACCACTGCAGTCGGGGAATATAAGACTAATTATTCCAGTTTCACAAATGATCAGGGACTTAATGACCTAATCGAGATCTCACAGCTAGAATTAAAATGAACATCTGTCCACACATGATAGAAAATAACTAACAAATGTCTATAATCCCTAGAAATTCTGATTTCAGTAGTCTTTAAAACTTGATTGGGAGATTCTAAATATATAACCAAGGTGGGAAAAAAAAAACACTGTCAATTGCAACCCTAACCACAAAGGAAAATGAGAGCTAGTCATTACCATTCTCAACATTTTCACCAAAATATCTGGCCTTCCTATGAAGAATCTCAATTTTAAGCCCCATAATAATTTGTTAACCTGTTTTCTTTTTGACTGTATCTCCAACACCTAAAACAGTGTCTGAAACAAGTTGACACTAAGTATTTAAAGGGGCAAATAAATAAACACTCCTGGGTTTTATTCCACAAGGACACTTCAAGTGCTAGTCTGTGCCAGTACTATCCTAGTTATGGGGATTCAGTACTGATCCAGTCTAAGGATACAGAATGTCCCTTTTACAGCATGTGTTCCACCATAAATATAATGCAGGCTACCTAACACAACTTTTCTAATAGCCACGTTAAAAAGTAAAAAGAGACAGGTGCAATTAACAATATATTTTACTTAACATATTCAGGATACTAGTTTAATATGAATTGATCCAAAATTATTTTTACAAATTCCTTAAGGTATTAATTGATATGTTATAAAATTCACCCAATTCTTAAATAACATTTAATAAGTTATTTTACACTCATCCAAGTCTTCGAGATCTGCTGTATATTTCACATTCACAGAACATCTCCATCTGGACCCGCCACACACCAAGGGCTCCATAGCCTCATATGGCCAGTGGCTACCATGTTGGGCAGTCCTATTGTGGAGGGTGAGACAAGCAATAAACATGTAACTGAAAAGGGTAGGAAAGGAAAGCCTGTGTAAAGAAGTGAAGACAGCAATTGAATGATTTAAAGGATTTAAGAAAAATAAGAAATAAAGTAGGTACTTTAGTAGGTACCTGCACTCACAATGCAGAAAAGAGAAATTGTGTCTTTAGCACATTTCTGGATATACTTTGTCACACCTATTTAATTGTCAGGGATGCTGAAGAGTCATATCCTAAATTAACAGCACTCTCTTCCCCATGGCCTTCTCCCAGGTTCTCCCCCTGGCATGACCCAACCTGATATTTGGAGCTCCTCAAATCCCAGAAATCAGCTGCAAGCCAATGTTGTTTTCTTTGAAGAGAGAAGCAGGAAAATCAGTGTCCTCCAGCTTACTAGCTGAGAGGCCAGAGGTCCAGAGGGAGTATCTGCTGCTTCTCCCAGAAGTTAGGATAAACTATAACACAGAGCATATCCTAAAGTGCATTGAGGACCACTGTGAGAGTTCTTTGATCCTCATCAGCTAAGCAGAAAAGATGGAGAATCTCTACCAGCGTTGAAGCCAAAGGGAAGACAGCTCTCTAGTGGTCATGTTACACATTTCAGTCAAACGAATGGGGGCACTGTGAAACGAATCCCTTATAACTACGATGGAGGACTGCACCATTGTCTTCAGGACAAATGAAATCAATTTTTTTAAAATCCCTTGGCTAAATTATTACCAAGTTACATATTTAAAATATTTTAATCTGGGATGCAGCTCAGTGTACAATACTCACCCAGAACAAGGTCCTGGGTTCAACCCCTAGCATAGCAAAAAATAATAATAATTAAATATTTGATTAATAATATGATTTTTGTTTATAATATATACTATTAAATACTGAAAACGGAAATTATGGTTAATGTGCTTAAATATTCAAAATGCTTTTTTAACACGTGGTTGAGGCAACTGATATGCTAAGATTCACAGCCCTTCATTTCCAGTGTTATCATAAGTGAAGGGATTATAATTCATATGATTCACTTTTATCCACCAATTAATGTCATATGTGTCCACTGAAACTTAGAATTTCACATGCAGAGGACAGTTATTGATGTGTTTGTACTTCCTTACTCAATCCTATTAAATTCAAAGGGATAACAAATCCGTTGGGGAATGCCAATTGATGGTGAAAAGATGATTATTTAAATCCCACCAGAATATTTAGCAATGTAAAGACCATAGTTACAAGTTTAAATACTAGTTAAAAATGATACTGGGAGCTGGGCATGGTGGCATATGCCTGTAATCCCAGTGGTTTAGGAGGCTGGGGCAGGAGGATCACAAGTTAAAAGCCAGCCTCAGCAATTTATTTAGTGAGGCCCTAAGCAATTTAGTGAGAACTTGTCTCATAAACAAATAAAGGGCTGGGGGTGTGGTTCAGTGGTTGAGCCCTCCTGGGTTCAATCCTTAGTACCAAAAAGGGAAAAAAAAAAAAAAGATACTATGAACTTGCTGATAGTTATTGTAAAATACAACATAAATGAGTTGATGTGCATGTGGTATTTTTATTTTTTATTCCTGTCATTATAGCTACAGAAAATTTGCTTTCCTTAAAATTAACTTAAATGCATAAAGAACTTTTTAGAACAACATTTAGCAGAGTTGGTACTACTAATCAGAGGCACAGAATAGAGTGGGTACATATATGGATTTGAATTCTGTCCTCCAGACTTAGTGATCTAGTTAACCTTGCTCAGTTTCCCCACCTGCAAAATTAGAATAAAAGCACCTGTCTCTAAGGGTTCATGCAAGAGTCATTTGACCACTCAATAAATGAGTTCAAGCAGATTTTAAGACAAAAGAAGAAGAAAATGAAAAACAGAAAAACTGCAAGTTGCAAAACTCATGAAGATTTTGCTAAACTAAAATTATGACTTATTCATTCTGAGGTTGTAAAACTCTAAAATTTAATAGAATGTTGTATTTATTATATTATCATGTTTTGCTTTAGATTTACTGTGTCAAATATTTTAAGGTAATTTTCATCAAAAGAAATATGTTTTAGATACTAATAATATTTGTACCTACAAATTGCAAAATAAACTCTTGCTATTGCATGTGGTAAAGGCAGAGGTGGGGTGTAGAATGATGGATGGGCTTGGTGGTCCATTCTTGGGAGTTGTAATTCTGAGGCACAGAAAGCTATGACTAAATCAGGAACACTACCTGGAGAAAGTGACCTGGGGTTATAATTTCAAGGAGATGGTCTGTGATCTGTGAGAGGATCTAGGGAAGGCCCCAGGAGGCAGCTGAAGGCTGACTCTCCCAGTTAGTAATGCAGGCTGGATGCTTTGGGCTAAAGTTTGCTGCAAAACATTCTGAACAAAGATCCTAGTCAAAAGGAGCTTTTTAATACCCTGAGGAATTCAGACTGAGTGAGATTAAAAAATACATATAATATAGACGTTGATCTCATAGACCGTAATCACACTCACTACATCATAGGGTCTTACCTTCAGTGCTCTGCCTTCAGTTAGTTGAGGCAGAGTAAAAAGAGATGGTCTCTGTGTTAGGGGAAACACATTTTCTGGAAATGTTCTTGAATACTTGTTCAGAATTATTGCAGGACATTGCTGGTATGGTTGCAGGTATGAGGAAGAGAATAAAAGGTACTGTGGATAAGTCACTAATCCAGAGGCTCCCAAATGCAAGCTGCCTGTTAGATGAAATCTTCCCTGTCTGGCTGCTTTTCCCTCCAAGCCCACCCAGACCTCCACCAATCAGCTGGGGCCTTCATATCTTCCCCTTATACTATCCTCAAAGGTGCTTGGGCATAACAACTGCCAGGTCCCAAGATTTCACAATGATATCTCTTGTCACTAGTTGAAATTCATGAATCCTTACCTTCACAGAGGTGAAATTTTGCTTCTTTTTTGCTTTCAAAATTGGGAAGGAAGTCAAACTCGGTTTCCTTGGCTTTTTATCGTCCATCTGAGTCTTCCAGGAAGGAGAGCAGAAAAAATTAATTGGCAGTAGGAATAAAATATAAGTAATGGTCCACACACTCCAGAGAGAAGAAAGAAGGGTGGGCATGAAGGAAAGAAGGGGGCAGACACAAAAGCAAGGGCGGACTGGACTCTCTGCTTTTTCTCTTGCCTCCCTTCTAGTGGTCTGATAGGGTTTGGAGGGCAGAGGGAGAGGCAGGAGCCAGGGAAGGAGGAGGAGTGAAGCACGAGGTTAGCAGTTTAAGACCCCCAGCAAACACCATTTCCCCTAGTTAACTGCAAAAGAAACCCCATTCTATTGCCACAAATACAATATTCCCCCCTACAATATGCATACACTAGTGGGCTACTGGGTTAGATTAATGCCTACAGAAAAAGAAAGGAGGAAGTTTGGTAGAAACTTTTTCTCTGGATCTTATTCATCCATTTTGTACCTTCATGCAGAGCACAATTCTATGACTAATTAACTGACTGCAAGATGGAGAGACTTGGAGATGGGGGCAGGATGAGGAAAGTGCTAGGGGAGTGATATTGGCCAAATTATAGAGTTATATTGTGTGCATGTATAAATATGTGCAACAGATCCCATCATTATGTAAAACTATAAAGCACCAATAAAAATGTCACAGAAAGAAACAGATAGAAAGATTTGTATAATACCATGGAATCTAATTAGAGTAGTGATTCATATAACTGGATGGTGAGCCTTCGAAGTTTCCTGGGACACTTATACATTAGCAAAACATTGTGGAATCTCCACTTTGTGTCCCTTGGAAGTCCCTTTACAGTCTCTAACTCTATCAAGAGCTAAGGGAATAAAATACACAGGAAATAGGGGCAGAACAGGGACCAAAGCAAACGTCATCCCGGCTTCTGCACATCACTCACTCCACACTGGTAAGCTCTTGCAGACACTATAATCAACATGGTGGTGTCACCATGTTGAAACTATTCAAAGACTAAAGACAAATCAGGATACTTATTGCAGCATAAATATTTAAAAATTAGAACTTACTTATCTCTAAATGATGGGAAATTTAAAATATGGCACACATATATTTTATGGGATGTGATGCAATCATTTTTTTAAAATGAGGTAGATCAAATAAGCCAGCCCCCAAAAACCAAAGCAGAATGTTCTCACTGATAAGTGATGCTAACACACAATAAGGAGGAAGGGAAGGGAAGAATAGACAAAGGGAAATGAATGGAAGGGCAGTGGATGGGAATAGGAAAGACAGTAGAATGAATCAGATTTAACTTTCCTCTGTTCATATATGAACACATGACCAGTGAAACTCCACATCATGTTCAACCACAAGAATGGGAAGTTACACTCCATGTACGTATGATATGTCGAAAAAAATCCTACTGTCATTAAAATTAAAAAACAAATACAAAAAACTTTTTAAAAATAAAAATAGAAGAATCACTTTATAGCTATCTTAAAGTAAACATTAATCAAAATGATATGGCATAGGCTTAAGGAAAAGTAAGACTCAAGGAATATGATAAGTTTATTTGATATTGTTTATTTAATCTATAACCAGTTAGTAATCAATAGCTACTCAATGTCAGGGAAAGGAATCACCCCTAAGGAATAGGGGTGAATATTACTATAGAAATTCTGAATTCATATCTTGCCTTTTATATCTATATATACCTAGGATTGAATATTTTAAAAAATAAAGAAAAGAAACCTGAAAAAAAATTAAATGGCTATGATTGGATCTCAAAAAAAAGTGGTTGATCTTTATGTATGCTCGTAACATATTGAGCAAAACCAGTAAAAGAACGCATATAATATGATTCTATATTTATTTTTTAAAAGATGTTTGCATACTTTTTTATACAGGTGTAATGAAGGATTTGGAAGAAAGGAACTATAAAAAAAATTACTTCTGAGGAGTAGGACTGGGGAAGGTAAGATCATCAAGTTGTTTTGTTTTTTTTAAGATACAGGATCTTGTCAAGTTGCCCAGGCTGGCCTTGAACTTCTAGGCCCAAGTGGTCCTCCCACTTCAGTCTCCCAAGTAGCTGGAACTACAGGCTGGTGTCACCATACCTGGCTAGGGGAACATTTATTTTCACACACACACACACATGAAAAAAAAATCTTTGAAAAGTAAACAAAAAAGTGTTAGTCTCTTCTCTACTGATGCAGTTTGACTTCTTCCTTCCCTTCCTTCCTTCCTTCCTTCCTCTCTTTCTGCAAACGTTTGTTGAGTCAATTCCACCAGATACAGTCTGTGCTCTAAAGGAGAATTTGCTCTCCAGGAGAAGAGACCATGGAAGCAGACCATTACAGAGCATGTGATCCACACACTAACAGACATATCTAAAGAGAGCATGGAGCACACTTTGAGATTCTGGCTGACCCTGCTGGGAGAGTTGTGTTAACCCTCACACCTGAGAAAAGCAGCCTGTTCTTGAAGGATGAGCAGGATGGGCACAGAGCCAAGGTAAGATGGATGAGACTGCACAGAGAATAAAATGTGGATTTTCTAGAAACTGCAATCACAGGAATCAGATATCACTGGCAGAGGGTCAGAAAGGAGGGTTAGATTGTCATATAGTGTCATACGCATCATATAGTCCAAGTTAAAATCTTGAGGGCTATGTGATTGTGCTAAATCTGAGCTGACAAGATCAGATTTGTGTTTTGGAAACATCTCTCTGGCAATAGCACGGAGCATGATTCCGAGGAGCTCAGTTAGCCATTTGGGGTGCATAGGTGAGAAATGATGAGGGCCTCAGCCAAAGCAGTGATGGAGAAGACAGAGAGCAAGTATGATCTTGGGGATAATTTGGGAGACTGAACAGGTCAATTTTCACCTTCAACTGGACATAGGATTCGTAAAGTCCCAACACTGGAGAAAAACGAATACAACACTTTTTTATTCTAAGGCTCTTCATCAGTCTTCCCTTCATCTACTTCCCAGGGGAATGGAGACTGTGGAAGTAAATGTTCATCTTTCCAAACAACTGAAGCTCTTTTCTCTGTCCAGCTGTGGCAGCTCTGTACATAAAGAGAAGAAATCCCTGAAGACAACGTGGGGACTTGGAGTCTAGCCTTGATGCTGCCATGATTCTGAATGAGCCCTATGTCTTCTCCAGATTTTCACTTTCCTTGTCTATAAAACAAGATGACCAGATGAACCAGATGACCTCCTAAAATTCTAATTCTATAAAAACACTGTCAGATTCTCTCTCTCTCTCTCTCTCACACACACACACACTGTTAGGATGGCCTTAGTCCTAAGCTTAAGCAACTCCATTTTAAAAACTACAGTTTGAAACCTGCAGTCTCACTAGGCACACCCACAGAGCCCTCCATTATGGTCACAAACAAGTTCCTTCCCCTCACCCTGATAAACAGAGTGAAGCCCCTGGCAGGCTGTCCTCGCCTGATAAAAGGGAAAGGTGAGAAGATCAGGGTGGAGACCACCAGACCAGATATTTCTGACCCCAGGGTAAATTATGTCACTGAGAAATCCGGTGGTAGCTGATAAGGATTGAAAGGGGGATCAAGAGCCCCAAAATTTAGTATAAATGATACAGCAAATGAACAGGGATTCAGCCAGCCGAAACAAGGATGCACTCGAGCTGGAGAGCCTGATGAGGATCGGACATCCCATCACTCGTCATTGTTTCCTGATCCTCTGTGTGATCCTCAGTGCTCTCAAACTCTACCACCTCGTCTGGACCTTGGTGAGAGCCACAACTTCTCCCTTCTCCCCAGTCCTCAACTAGTCGTCCACTCCACACCAGGAAAAACCTTCCTGGGTTCCGGACCTGGTCACTGCGGTCTGAGTGAGTGTGCATCTGCTGGACATAAAGCCTAAGGCTTAAGACTTTTGAACTTAGCATGCAGAGGGAATGTCTGTCATTAGCCTATCATGATTAAGTGTGTTTTGCGGTGCTTAGAATTAATCTAGAATTGTGTGCTGTGAATCAATCAATCTAGAATCCTTTGCTGTGAATTGATTATGTCTATTGCAGAGCCTAGCATTAAGGATTGTCCTTTTCTTGATTAAGAACCTATAGAGTGGGCTGGGGATGTGGCTCAAGTGGTAACGCGCTCGTCTGGCATGCTTGCGGCCCGGGGTTCGATCCTCAGCACCACATACAAAAAACAAAGATGTTATGTCCGCCGAAAACTAAAAAATAAATATTAAAAAATTCTCTTTCTCTCTCTCTTAAAAAAAAAAAAAAAAGAACCTATAGAGTGAAACTGTATTGAGTAATTTGTGTGAATAAAGTATTGAAAGGGGCAGAAATGCATGGACAATTTTTTTTTCTCCCCTTGTCTGCATACATCACAATTTTGCCCCTTCCTGACACATACTTTTATGACTTATTCCATTATTTCCCTCCCTTTCATGATTCTGTAGTTATCACAGACTATTTTGTGCCTTTCTTTATGTATTCAATCTGACTTCCAAAAATAACACTTGCTCCCTACTCAAAGCTTTGAAAATGCCATTTTTTAATCCTCAAAATATATGGCAAATGATGAAGAAAAAGAATTAAAATATGTCTATATTTGTATCTTGTTGCATGAAGGATTGAAGAAAACAAACTTACTTAGTTCAGAGCTAGAGTTAACAAATGTTCTTTTTTTTGGAACCAGGGATTGAACCCAGGGGCACCTAACCACTGAGCCACATCCCCAGCCCCTATTGTATTTATTTAGAGATAGGGTCTCACTGAGTTGCTTAGGGCCTCGCTAAATTGCTGAGGCTAGCTTTGAACTCATGGTCCTCCTGCCTCCCAAACCACTGGGATTATAGGCTTGCGCCATAGCACCCGGCTTGGATCAAATGTTCCTTTGAGAAATGAATCTAAAAAATGAATCAAAAAAAATTGTTATTTTCTTATAAGTAGATCAGAATTTCCCTACCTCTCCACACCACTCTCTTTCTTCTGGAATTCAACAGTATTTCTTTTTCTCATTTTGTCACCTGATCAATAGCTTTAATGTTACTACTTAATTATCTTAGATGTATATATTTTTTAATCTCATCTCAATGTGTGCCTCTTGATGAGCTTGTTTTTATTTACTTTAATTCCTTATAAGAACAAGCGCGGTCAGTGGCTTGTCCATTGAAAATTCTTGGTACCAATTTTCTGGAAGAATAGAAATCTGAAATCGTTTAGATAATTCATCAAAAATGTTCAGAGCATAAACTGTGGGCCAGCAACTATGTTAAGCATGGGGAATTAAAGATAAAGAAAACAGAATCCTTGTTTTCAAGGATTTGGGAGTCTGTAGGGCAAGACTGCCCCACAAACAATGGTACCAGCATCACTGCACAGCATCTTCTACATATGTATTATCTGTGTGTAGAGTATTTCAATGTCCTCAAAGAAAATGTCTTCTGAGATTTACCTGTTATGATTTATGATTTCAGTATTTCCATAGCCATTGTTAGTGGCTTAATCTTTATTCCTTGGGACAAAAAAATGTGGCAGTGTGCTTGTGGGAATGTAAATTAATACAGTCACTGTGGAACACAATAAGAGATGCTTCAAAAAACTAAAAAGAAAATTACCATAGGACCCAGCAATGCCACGACTGGGCATATACCCAGAGGAGTTGAAATCTTGGTACCAAAGATACTTTCACCCCCATGTTTGTTGCAGCACCATTCACAATAGCCAAAATATGGGATCAACCCAGATGCCCTCAGCAGATGAATGGATAAAGAAAATATGGTATATTTACATATTGGATTACTAGTCAGACACACACACACACAAAATGAAAATCCTGTTATTTGTAGTAAAATGGATGCATCTAGATAACATTATTTTGTAGTGAAATAACCCAGACACTGAAAAGATAAATACCACATGTTTTCATTCATTTAAGGAGACCAAAAATTCAGACTTGTAGAAGTACAGAACAGAATAGTGGTCACTAGAGATGGGGAAGGACAACAGGGAGTGGGAACACTGAGGAATTAAGAGGGACTTTTAGATACTGGGAAGGGTGCTAAAAGGAAGGGGTAAGGGAGGGGGGCTTGAATGGAAGAAGGGCGGCTGGACATAAATAATGCACCATGTATATAGGCATGGAAATATTGCAGTGAATCCTTCAATTTGTACAATATTTTGCCAATAATTATAATTTTAAAAACGTGACTACTCCCAAAAACTGGGAAAAAAATAAAAATAAACTGTGGCAGTGAAGGGGTAGGAGTGACCCTGCCCCTTTGCCTCTCTTTGAAATGGAAACAATGTGTTTAATGTATTTAAGGGACACTCACTTCTGCCCCTCTGCATTGTCCTTGAAATTCTTCATGGTTCAGTGACCCCAGACTCTTAAGAGGTGTAACAGTCTTTAAAAACCATCCTGTCCATTTTCCTGCCTGGGCAGGAATCCTCTCTATGGTTTCCTTGACAATCATGTGTCTGTGCTGGAACATTACTCAGACACAGCCCACTGTTTTTCCAGGAAACTCATCTCACACTTAGCTGTTAATTTACATATGGTTGGCTCAATAAAAATCTGTGGGAAGAATAATTGGTATTGAGCAAAATATCTTCTACTGATCCTTTGCTATTCTCTGTGAAGCAACAAAGAACAAATCCGCCTTCCTTCCTACTCAAGAGTTCTCAAGTGTTCAAACCTTAAATAGAAAAATATTATTATTATTATTATTATTATTATTATTATTATTACTCTCCTGGGCACTCACCCATCTCCTGGCATTGTGGGGGGTTGAGTGGTCATCGTCCAATTCTCTGAGAGCTCAAATAGAACAAAAAGGTGAAAGAAGGACAAATTCTCTCTTTTTGACATGAGACAGTCATCTTCTCCTGCCCTCAGACACTGAAGCTCCTGGCCCCCAGACCTTCAAACTACAAGGCTTACACCAACAACCCCCTTCTAACCTCAGGTTAGTTATGGGACTCCTTGGCTTGCATAAATCATATGAGACAATTTTCATTATAAATAACTATGTGTCCTATTGGTTCTTTTGTTCTGGAGAATTCTTACTAATACACACATTATATTTCTATTTTCTCCCTCCATGTTTGGTATTATGTTGCCATATATTTTACTTCTTATATTATAAACCCATAATAAATAGTTACTGTTTTTGAACAATTAATTACCATTTGAATTAATTAAAAATAAGTGAAATTATTGATGTAGGACAGATGAGGCTGGATACCAGAGGAATATTCAGGAAGCAAGTTTAATTACACTGTAGCAGTCCAGAGGGGCTAAGGCCTAAAATTCTCTGCACCCCAGGTCTGGAAATTCTTTTAGATTTATACTCTATAGAGTGGTTACATGACAGTGGGTGGGTATATTACAGTTACTCTTGGTCCTATATTTCAGGTCAGACAGAGGTTTCACACATTTTTTGCCAAGGAAAACAGAGATAGGGGGCTGGGGCTGTAGCTTAGCAGCAGAGCACTTGCCTGGCATGCATAAGGCACTGGGTTTGATCCTCAGCACCATATAAAAATAAATACAATAAAATAAAGGCATTCTGTCCACCTACAACTACAAAAATATTCAAAAAAAAAAGAGATAGTATTTTTTTTTTATAATAAGCTCTCTTTGAGACAGAATCTACATATCTTTTGTCTGCAAACCTGGCATTTATAAGAAAGAGGAAGCTTCAAACCACATTGAGCTCTCCACAGAACTCCTGTGAAATCCCACTGATACCCTTAGTAAGATCTTGCTGACAAGAAGCTTAATTATGGTGGGGGTTCCTGGAGAAGCTTGTATGTTACAATTATGGTGAGGGGTACCTGGTTTGCATCAATATGGCTTGCATTTAACTTAAGTTTCACCATTTCATAGTTCCTTCATTTCTTTGTGTGGATCCAAACTGCCATTTCACAATCCTTTGCCTAAGCATCCTTTAACATTTCTTAGAGTGTAGATTTCCTGACAGTAAATTCCCTGAGTTATTTATTGCCTGCAAAGTTCTTTATTTTGCGCTATTTTTGAAGGATACTTTGATGGGTATGAAACTTTGTATTGAGTTTAACGTGCTCCCCCACCCCTTAGTCTTTTGGTAAAGATGTTGTTCCGCTGTTACATGACTTCATAATCTCTGACAAGAAGTCTGCTCTTTTCTTATATCTGTTCCTCTGTAATGTTGTTGGCATAAATTACAGCTAGCACCTGCCATAAAGACTCCTATATCTCTAGTATTTCTGCAGCTTGACTCTGGTGTTTCTAGAATTAGGGAGGTTCATATTTGTTGTTGTTAACCCCACTCAGATTCTCTGACATATATGGATCTATTTGTTTTTTATTAGTTGCTTACTGTATTTTATTAATTTTTGGATAATTTGCAGCAACTGTCCCTTCAGGTAATTCTTCTGGACAATTCTCTTTTACTTCCAGGTTTCAAATTATATCCATATTAGAGTACTGATACAGCTCCACAGCTCTAAGAGGCTCTATTCTGTCTTCCCTCTTTTTTCTCCCTTATTTTTTTAACTTTTCTCTCACTTCTTTTAATGCTTTATTTCTTTTTATGTTCTGTTGATTTAGCTTTAGTAAGTTGATTCTTCCTTCAGCTAAATCTAAGTTTGTTGATAAATCCAATGCAGTAGTTTCCATTTAACATTTCTGGAGGGGAAGGGAATGGTGACTGGACCCACAGGTACTTTACCACTGAGCTACCTCCCCAGCCCTTTTTGTAGGCAACTAAGTTGCCTAGGGCCTCACTAAATTGCTGAGACTTGCCTCAAACTTGCAATCCTCCTGCCTCAGCCTCCCAAATCACTGGGATTACAGGCGCACACCACCATGCCAGGCTTCATCCAAATTTTAAAAAGAATTTTTGGTTTTCATCTCTCTGTTGATATTTTCCATAAGTTCATGGATATTGTTCACTTTTCCCACTACATTCTTTAACTACTAATCATAGTGATTTTAAAGTTCACATCTGATAGTTCCCATATCTAAGGCATTTCTGAGTCTGCTTCTTATTATTTGTTTTATCTCAAAACAGTAGACTGTTGCTGGGTCCTATGGGCTACAAGGTTTGTGTCCTCCGAGTAACTTTTATGTCACAGAAGATAAGCCTCTGATGAAGCAGACTTTACATCATGTCTAACCATCATGGCCATTCTGTCCAAGTTTGCCCCTAATTTTTCCTATAAATATCCTGCCCAATGGAGTCCTGTAGAAAAGATCTTGTAGGTGCAAGTTGCCCTTGTATCTGAAGTTCCCACTTACTCTAAACTGAGTATAAGCCAACATTCAATCTGTAAGAATTCATTATTTCACTAAAATTTCAACTGATACCATCTTACTCATTTCTATGGTAGTCACATGTTTCTCTTGTGCTCTGCTATCCAGTGAAATACCCAAATGTCTTATATCTCCTCAGGAAGGGTTGTCATTTCTGGAGATTTAAGAAAAATTATTACTTTGAGGATCATCTGGTTTTTCTGTTTTCTTTCAATAAAAACAATGTTCTCTCCCAACATTTTTACATCCTAATTGTAAGAGAAACACTCTGCCATCACAATAAGAACAAAATTAACATACCAGCCTTTTCTTTTAAGACTTTAAAGTGCAAATTATATTCAAAAAGAAGAAAAAAACAGCAAACTGGCATTCTTGATATGTGAACACTGAGTATATTCAGTTTTCATGTGTGCAGACCCCAAATTGAGCAAACTGTTAAAAAAAATACAATTGCTAGATTTGCACAGATAAGAGCTTTCACACATAAACTGTACTGCAATGGGCTGAATAAACTAAATTGAAACCCATGACTGTGATCCTCTGCCATTGCAGAAAGGGTTGATGGGACTGTAACCTATCAACTTCATTAAATTACTGTGACATGTTTCAAAATTGTTTTACTAATAGCTAGAAATGGACGAGTGTACAAGATCAACTGAATAGATTTGTGATGCATATTTTTTCTCCACTGCACAGTCACAAAGCCTGCCCTGCAAATTTTTACAATCCGCAGTTAGCAGAATGATTATTAATGATTCTGTCTTTTCTATTCCCAATGTGCCAGTAACCTTTGCTCTGATTGCTGTGTGCCAGGCATTTAAGAGTATATAGCACATGGAAGAGCTAAATCAGGCAATACAGACTACATTATACATAGAGAACTAAATGTGCACACACAACAGATGTTTGACTTTTTAATCAGATTTACTTGTGCTCACCTCAGAATAAAAGTCATCCAGGCAGAAGAAGTCCTGTGCAAATGCCCATGTAGAATAACATGATCCTGGCTGAACAGTTCCTCTGCCTTTCCATTTTACTGTGCCCTTTTTATTTTCAAGGGCAACAACTGCCTCAGCCTACCTCAGTTTATGCTACCCTGCAAGAAATCAAGTGCCTTCTGACATTTCCCAGAAGACAGTCACTAATTACATTACATTCCCACTGCCAAAACAAGGGCCTGGGCTTCCTGAACTCCCAACCTGTTCATTTATCTTGTAGAGCCACATTATTATCCTTTGGGAGAAAGGGGAGAAGACTTATCACAGAAATTTAATCAGAATAATTTCATGGACATAAATGTTACTCTTGCAATTTGGAATGTGATTTGTATGTTTCTGTGGGATTAGAGACAGAAAGATCCATTAAACAACACTGGATAAAGAACTGGGGGATTTAGCATCTAATTCTAGTTCTGCCCTAATACTGCATGCCATTGTGCAAGCTTCTTAATTAGAGTGGGCTTGTTTTCCCGTCTAAAAACAGATTTGCTCTCCTGGGTTCCCTCAAGTTTTGTTATGTTTCCCCCCACCCCTCTTTCAGTCATTTATTCAACTGAATTTCAGAAACTACCATAGTGGATTCGCTTACTCTTCAAACACTGCTCAAGCTGGTAGAAATAAAAAGCACGAACAGATGAAAACAGTAAAATGAAATTCCTCTCCTCGAGGAGTTAATGGTTTAGTGAGAGACAAAGACAAATAAGTTACAGTACAGTGTAAGATGGTATTACCAGGAACTATTTTCCTATTGTGTTTTGATTACCCAGAGAAAGCCAGCTATTTAATAAAATACTTTTAAAGATAAATGGAACCCTAGATATCTAGACCAATTTCTTTATCTTACAAAGACTGAAACCATGAGACTCAAAATCTTCCAGATCATAACCCCAGTCTTCAACTTCCACTGGCGCTCTGCTACCATGACCCATTTGTAAATGTTACCTCTGAACTCAATTTGTAAATATGCCAATAAGCAGACGCTATCTTACCAGGATATAAGGGCAGCCAAGGTAAATAAAACTGTCCCAATATACAAGTAATCATTAATTTCTAATTAATGCTTCTATTCATTCTTCTTCCCTCTATGTCTAAACGTCCCTCCCAATTTTTAACTCTAAGTACCTTACCATTTCCTCTGTGACTGTAAAAAGTAAGAGTTGGTCTACATTTCCAAGTTTCCATTTTTATCAGACATTTTATTAAACTGATGATTTTGTCGGATCCCTGAACTCCTCATACTACTTTGCTGCTGATTTTATGCATAAGTTTTAGACCCCCTATCTTATTCTAGTTTGCACTTACAATATACATGGCTTTTTATAACATGACTGGTCCTGGGTTAACCACTGTACAGACCCAGATATTTGTGTATTCTCTTAAAACTTCCCAGGCCAGAGAAGCAGTCTACCTAGACCTCTCAGACCAGGATTCAGTGTGGTTCTTGGTAACTCAAATTCCATTTGACATTTGGACAAGAAGTTGTATGTATAAGACTAGGAGAGATACTTAGCCTCTAAGGAGACA